GCCCGGCCCACCGGCTCTCCAGGATCTCGGGGTCGGTGATGCGCGTGTTGGTCATGTGGGTGTGGACGCCGCTGCGCCCGTGCCAGCCAGGACCCGCTCCCGCGCCGCCCGCCACCGTCTCGTAGTAGCCCATGTGGGCGTTGCCCAGGGTCACGTTGTTCATGCAGCCCTGGCCGGGTCAAGGGGCGACGGCGAGGTGGCACTCGCTCCCGGCCAGGCCCCGCCCCCGCCGACTCCGGCCCGCCCCTCGCGGGTCGTCGCCCCGCCCCCTGGCTGGCCATCGCCCCGCCCACCGCACCTGCGAGGCGGCACAGGCCCCGAAGGCCCCCAGGATGACGTCCACCACGCGCTGCGACGTGAGCACGTTGCCGCCCACCACGGCGGCCTCCGCGGATGGGTCCAGAATGGAGCCTCTGGGAATCACCACGCGCACGGGCGCCAGGCAGCCCTGCGCCCAGCGAGCGGCTCAGGTTCCAGGAAAGCCCACCCCAGGCCCGCGCTGGGGTGACCCGCACTCCGGAACCCGAGCTCGCCTCTGCCCACCTGGTTGAGTGGGATGTCCCGGCCCACCAGACACCGCAAGCAGTAGATGAGCGAGGACAGTGTGATGGCGCGTGGGGCGTTGAGGTTGCCGAACACCTCAGGCCCGGTGCCGGTGAAGTCAAACACAGCGCTGCCCTGGCCGTGGGCAGGGGGGAGCATTAGGGATCGCGGAGCCACGCCCCACCTTCCCTGACCACCGGGGTGGGGTGTGGGGGTGTGGGGAGATCAGGGGTCACGGAGCCACGCCCCACCTTCCCTGACCACCGGGGTGGGGTGTGGGGAGATCAGGGGTCACGCCCCACCTTCCCTGACCACCGGGGTGGGGTGTGGGGAGATCAGGGGTCACGGGGCCACGCCCCACCTTCCCTGACCACCGGGGTGGGGTGTGGGGAGATCAGGGGTCACGGGGCCACGCCCCACCTTCCCTGACCACCGGGGTGGGGTGTGGGGGTGTGGGGAGATCAGGGGTCACGGGGCCACGCCGCGCCTCCCCGCCAGGCCCCACCTGATTGAGGTTGACCTGAACGCGGAGGCGGATGGGGGAGCCGTCGTCCATGTAGTCCTCGGCCAGCACCTCCAGGGGCAGGCCCCGGGCCTGCCGGGACGCGCCAAAGGCCCGCAGCATGTCCCGCACGGCCAGCTCGGCGTTCGCCTGGCAGGGAGAGGGGCTCAGACGCGCCATGCCACCCTGAGGAGCCCCTGCACTGCCCGCGCACCTGCGCCCAGGCCCACCTGAATGTGGCCCATGTAGGCCTGCACCACATCCAGGCCATACTGCCCAATTAGCTCTCCCACCAACTGGATGCCCTTCTGGTTGGCTGCCACCTGGGCCCGGAGATCGGACAGGTTGTCATGCAGATTCCTGGTTCCGCTGCAGCCGGAGATCTTGCCCGGTGCCCGCAGGGCCTCTGTCACCGCTGGATAGACAGGGTCTCCACTGAAGCACCACTCCCTGCGCAGGCCGCCTTGTGCCCTTTCCTACCCAGTGGGTCTGAGACCTCCTGTTGTCCCCTCCCTCCCCACTCCCCGACTCACTCAGGGCCGCTGAGGACGCCAGCCTCCACCCTACTGTTCTGCTGGCCACTATCCCCGGCATGTTGGGCAGCAGCTTTGCCAATGACTTCACTGAAGCTGGGGGAAGGGGACTCCTTCCTGCCTTCTCTGCATCCTCCCTTTCTCAGGACAAAATCCACTTCCCTGACACTCCCCAGCTTGGCCTGCTCACTGGCCTGCCCAGGTACCAGGCACTGGCTGATCACCCTCCTATCTCTGACCTGAGAGTCTCCTTTCCCACTCATACCAGCAGGAGAGGTCTGGCTCAGCTCCTCCCCCACACCTCAGCAGGAGAGGTCTGGCCCAGCCCCTCCCCCACACCTTAGGAAAAACCTCCTGCTCCGCCCCCCCCCCCAGCCTGGCCTCTGGCCATGTCATGTGTTTGCACTTGTCTGCCCGGCTTCCGCTGACCAGGTCACCTTGTCCACGCCCCTGGCACCCTAAAGACCTGTGGCGCACGCGGGCACGCGCGTGCACACACACACACACACACACACACTACCCTGTCTCTTCCCACTGTTGCCCTGCCCTCAGACCCCTGCAACCTCAAAGTGATGCTCTTTCCCACTGCCTCCATCTCCCAGCAGCTGGCTCTGTACCAGGAACTCCAACCTCTAGTTGTCCAAACCTGACATCTCACTTCCCCCAAAATTCCATCAAACACCCACTCTGAATTTCCACCCAGCACCTTCCATCCTCCACCCAGCTTCACACTCAGTATGATCCAGGGCCACTGCCCCTGGCACACCTGACCCCCTCCAACCCCTGGCACACCTGACCCCCTCCCCCCATCCAGGACTCTCTGGAACCCTCATCCCCTGCAGGGATGCAGGCAGCAGTGCCAGCCGGGCCAAAAATCCTCATCCATGCCTTGCTGCTGGACAACCAGGCCCAGCTGTATTCCCCCAGCCCCAGCCCCAGTATGGGTGGGAACAGCCATCCATCTTGAAATGAGCCCTGCTCCCTTCTTCACTCTGCTGCTTGGGTGTCCTGGACAATTCTCACCCCAAACCGCCTTCCAAGGCTCAGGTGGAATTCATCTCAGTCCCTCCGGTCATGCCTGAGGATCTGCACTGGCCCAGAGGACTGAGGGTTCATCAGGACAGGCCTGGGCTGTGGGCTGGATCCCAAGGGCCAGCTCAGCCAGGCCTAGCGTAGCCCATCCATCAGCCAGCTGGACGCTCACCACGGCCCCCCTCCCTCCCACTCACCTTCCTCCTGAAAGACTCCCCCCTGGACCAGCTTGAAGGACAAAAAGACAGCGCCCTCCTGCTGCAGTGTCGTGGAGTGGGGGGGCATGGAGCCCGGGGTTATACCCCCAATGTCAGCGTGGTGCCCGCGGCTAGCCACATAGAACACAGGCCGAGTCTGACCTGGCCAAAACACCTAAGCAGGGGAGAGCAGTGGTCAGCTGTGTCCCCAGAGGCAGTCACCCCAGCCAGCCGGGCAGCCCTCTTACGGGAGTGATGACAGTCAGGTCCGGAAGATGGCTGCCTCCCGCACTGGGATGGTTGCTGAGCAGAACGTCGCCAGGGTGCAGATTGGCGCCCAAGTGCTGGATCTGAAACCAAGAGACAGGTGCAGAGTGAGGGAGGAAAGCAGGGGCGGGTCAGGGTGGGTGAGGAGGCGCTCTCCGTACCTGGAACTGCACGGTCTCCTGCATCGCGCCTAGGTGCACAGGGATGTGTGGGGCATTGGAGACCAGACCCCCATCGGGCCCAAAGAGGGCACAGGAGAAGTCGAGGCGCTCCTTGATGTTGGTGGAGATGGCCGTGCGCTGCAGGATGCGGCCCATCTGCTCTGGGGACACAGAGTAACCAGGTGCCTGCCGGCCCCGCCTCCCCACGCCTGGCCCCAGGGAAGGGGGCTGGGGCAGGCTCTCCGATGCCCAAGCCGGGGACCTGGCACGCCCCACAGAAGATCAAAGTGGCCGCATGCCCATGTGGTCGCCAAGCCCCTGTGAGAGAACCTAAGACCTCCTCTGCTCCCTCCATCCTGTCTGGCCCAGC